CAGCTATGTTCACAAACCAGGAGAAATTGTTATTTTCACTAGAGTTACTCTGGATTTAAGCCTTGGCATATTAGACCCCAAATTGGCCCAATTTTTCTTCCCCTCTCTCTCCATTTTGAGGCTTTTTTCAGTCCTTGTGTCCCATTGGAGACTAAGTACTTGTTTGGATGTCAAAAGCAAGATTGAAGTCTTACTAGCTTCCTGACTTTAAAACTAAAAAAATCCATCAGAAAAATCTGTCAATTTGCAGGGTGTGTGTGTTTGACTTCAAAACTAAAAAAATCCATCAGAAAAATCTGTCAATTTGCAGGATGTGTGTCTGTGTCACTGAAATCATCTATGAGACATAATGGAATCTAGAATGCTACTAATCCCCTGCATCAATTTGCCTTGAATGAACTTGGCTCTAAACAAGAGAGTTTTCTAGACCAATTTGATTTTAAGCCACCAAGTAGCATTTTCAAATGGTGAGAATTTAGCTTTCTATTGAATAAGAATTAAATTTTAACACAAATAAAATTGATGATGTTTAAGATTTATACCAAAGCAACTGTTTGGTCTTGCTTTTCTTTGATTAGAGAAATTTAAATCACAAACATAAAAGATCCTGACTTTTCTATACTCAGACTTCTAATTAAAAGCTCCCTACTCTCTCTTAAAATTTGCCCATTCAGAATTTGAACCATTTGAGTAGCGTAGTCAGTTAATAACCACAAATACGACATTTTTGTCTAACAATGAACCGACTTATAAATATGCCTATGATTAGAGCTGGTCAAAATTTGTGTAAAAAAATATGGAGGAACTGGTCAACATTTTTTCTTAATTTAAATGTTCATTTTCAACATCATTTGGTTTTGCTGAAAAAAAAACAACAAACTATTTTAACACAATTTTAAACACTTTTTTTTGCAAGATTCCCCTCCCGCCTTTTTCCCCCATTATCAGCTATCAGTTGCATGATCTCAGTCTTATAAGGTTTTTCTTCATAGCATTGCTACCACCACATTGATACTTGAAAATCTTCTGCTCCTTGAATAAGAATAGCTGGTATTTCTACAGTCCTTTCCACACACAGAGTCTATGTCTATACTGCATGCTTGCCACACACAGAGTCTATGTCTATACTGCATGCTCGCTCTTGCGCAAAATCTTGCAGAGCGTCTACACTGCACGCGTGATCTTGTGCAAGTAAATTTACAGTAAAGCATCAGAAAAGAGGAATTCTTGCTCAAGAGTTATCCCTCTCCCCTTGCACAAGAAGGCAGTGTGGACGGGCAACAGGGGTTTCTTGTGCAAGAAACCCCTATGGTTAAAATGGCCATCAGAGCTTTCTTGCACAAGCGAGCATCCACACCGCCATGGACACTCTTGCACAAAAGCATGTGGCGGTGTGGATGCATTCTTGCACAAGAAGCCTGAAGTGTAGACTTAGCCAGATCTTACAATCACATTCCAAAATGACCCCGTGCAAACTTTTGAGAATGTAACCCTTATAGAACACCTCCAACTTTCCTTTCATGCCTTGTGCCTAATCCTGAAGTCACACCTGTGCATCTATAGCATTCTCCCCAAACTGGTCCATTTGTGTTTTGGGTCTGTTCCTTAGGGCATCACTCACCATCTGAATGGCTGAAAGATTGTAGAAAGCAGATGTGACCACAAACAGATGAATAGCTTACTTCAGAACCATTTATTTCCTGAGTCCTAAGCATTTGAATTTTACAATATTCACAGAAGACAGAAATTGATATATTTTCATGTATTGAATACATTTTTGCTCCAATATGTCATATGTTTCTTTCAGAGAGATGTGATGACTGCAGTGAACAACTGCAACAGATTCTCTGCTGATAGAAGGAAAATATAGTTGTGTGTCAGGTTTGTTTCTTTACTCCTTTTCTGCGGTTATTGTTAAAAATATCTTCAGATATCTTACTTCTCTCTCTCTCCACCAACATTTTTGTCACATTTAACTTGATATACATGAACATGCCACAAAAACTGCTCTTTAGCCAGAGATACAAGAACATGAAGTCATATTAAGCCATGTTACACTGGTGGTAATTTACAGTTTATTCTTTGCAGTTGCAGAACCCCTTTAAAAAAATTATCCTTGATTTTTTTCCCCCTCAAGCCTTCTATCTGACTTAAGGTACGTTTTCCGTTAGACTGCAGTTGATCCTTCAGGAGGAAACAATAGAAGCAAACAAATCTGATGCCTATGGTAAAGCAACAGCTGCTGCTCAGCCACCCTGATAAGCAATACATATATTGATTGTGTAACTCTGGATTTCCCCCCAATGATAAACAGATATTTGAAGAGTTATTCAAAGAAATCACTTCCTTTGTACTGTGCCTTAATGAACATATAGCTGATTTCATGTATTACAGTAACATACTGCAAATCAAGATATTAGCAAATCAAGGCGGCAAGGAAGGAGACACTCTTAGAACACACAGGCCTATTAGTAGCAGAGGATGCCATGTCAGGTAGAAAAAAAAATCAGTATTCACACCAAGCCCTTATTCACATAGGCCTAAATTTAATTTTTAGCACATAGCCCAAAAATCTGGGCTATGCTTTAAGAATTTGTGCTGTGAGGAAGGGATCCTACCCTCGCTAGGTTGTCAAACTCAGGGAAGAAGCGGACTGCACTGCTACTACTTCTCACGCACCTCGGAAGGGTAATGACTTGTGAATCCATTTAGTCATGAAATCACTGGCCTGTGATGGGAAGACTTTGATTCCCATCACTTCCCTCCCACAAAGTTTGTACTGGAATATGGATTTAGGAGCCAAAGCGAATTTTCAGAGGTGCTGAGAACTTACAATTTCTGAGATGTGTGGAAGAGTTTGAGTGCTCAGCTGGCTACTTATATAGATGCCTCAATATGGATTTATGACCCCAGCTTTCTCATTCACTGGCATAATGATGTAGGGCAGTAGAACAAAACAACTAGGAAGTCTGTAAAACTTTTTGGAACCATCTGATGTTAGGGTCCACTTTAACAGTAACCCTTAATTTTCTGGCATAGTATTTAGTATTTTTCATTTGTATATGCACCCAGCTTTGGAATTAACAGTTTTATCAAGATTTTCATATTCTTTAGTATAGATTCCAAAGATGATTTATAAGTAGATTATAAATGGGTTTACATAGAATACCATAAAAATGTACATGATGAAAATGACATATTAGAAAAGAAAAATAATATTGTTTCCTAAACACTTTTTGTAGTCAGTTCCGTACAAGGAATAATTCCTTGTCTCTAGAACATTTTCCACCCACTGCCTAAAAGCTTCCAGGCTTTTGCACAGAATGACAAGATTAATTTGCAATTTTTTATTTTTTAATTAAATGGGAGCTTCTTGGATTGTTCCTTTGTACTATCTGCTACACCCCTTCTCACCATCAGGAGAGATGTGTTAGGAAGATAAACGATAGCAACTGAAGCTGAAAGATCTATTGTTATGCATCACTGGAAAAAGTCAATTAAACAAAAAGTTGATAGTTTTATCAGATACACGTGACTGTCTGTATATGTAGGAGAGGATTAAAACATGTGGCTCTGGGTCTGCATCAGGATCTACTACCATGGATCCCAGAGTGAAATAAGAGAGACTGTGCATGAGGTCAATGATAGTATATTTAATTCAGGCTTAGAACCTAGGAGTCTAATCAGATGACCACTGAAGTCAATGGGAGTCTTTCAATACACTTCAATGAGTGTCAGATTAGGCTAGAAACTTTACATGATGTATGTAAGGGGTTAAAAAGTATGCTAGCATAGAATGATATAAATACCACTTTGGCAATCCTTGTAAACAACATAAGGTGAACAGATACATAGACAACCCCAGCACGAATCAGAGGAACAGGAAAACAGAAAATGGAGGCCAGGGTCCTCAGCTGATTTAATTGATCATCTTCAATAAACCTATGAATTTCCACAAGCTGAGGATCTGTCCCTCAGGGTATGTATACACTACAGTTTTGTCAGAAAAACGGCCATTTTTCTGACAAAACCTGAGTTACATCCACACTGCAATCGCGTTCGTCCGAAAGTATATTTGAAAGAACAGAGGGTTTTTTCCAGTGTTCGTAATCCTCTATGAGGGAAAAGGTGTGTGGACGGGGAAGAGGGAGTTCTTTCAAAAGAAAAGAAAAGAGGAAAAAAACACAGGTGCCCTGGAGGCCACTCCGTCCATAGTAATCACAGCTTAAATGCAAAATAGCATCAATTCAGTGTGGATGCTATCTTTTAAAAAAGCAGATTGCTTTTTCTATGTGCTTGTGCGTATGGATGCTCTCTTTCGGAAGAAGTTTTTTCAGCAGATCTTTTCCAAAAGAAGGCTCTTCCAAAAGAAGCCTACAGTCTAGACATAGCCTCAGACTGGACAATACTCAGGGGACACATTCATGGGTTATTGAAATAGACATTGAGGTTTTGCAGTCTGTAATAGAGAACCATATCCCTGTAGTTGCTCAGAAGCATACCAAGCAAGGATCTACTGATTCCACTATAAAAAAAAAAGTGGTAAGAAGCTGTAGAATGGGGGAAGACGCTCAGGGAGAGACCAACAAACTGGAGGAAGAGAATTCAGCAGAGGCCTGGCAAGGCAGGGCATGGCTGCTAGGATCAAGCAAACTCCAGGAGGGAAGCCTGTGGCATTGGGGGCAAAAAATTGAGAGACTAGAGTTCTCCTGGGAGCCAATGGGCTTCAGGTAGGGATGTTTTGGGAGACCTCTGGAGGAAAAGCTGAGAGCATGGCCTTGATGTGGATTTCACAACTTAATTACAATAATGAAATAATTTCCAAATAAAGTCTAACCCCAAAATTTGGGTGGTAAACTACAGAAATGTTTGCAAGTGGAGTCCTTAAGAGGCCCTGAAAAATGGAAACAAGCAGATGACAGAGCAAGAAGCACATGGGAGGTGACTGGCTCATTGACATTTGTAAAGCTATGTAGAGAAAAACCACCACTACACACTTGCAAAATCATGTTATTTATTTAAAACAGCCTTAACCTTTCATCCCAACAGGCTGTCTCCAGTAGTTAGTGGTAGCTGTACTATCACCACTACCTGCCAGCCAGAACATATCATGCTTAGTCTGTGTTCATTCCATTTGAACATAATCACCAGAGTAGGCATGTATGACAAATTTTTTTAGTCATCTTTTCATTACTCAGTCTTGAGCACCATGCAGGGAAATATTAATACCGATGTATCAATAAATGCAAGATGCCACAATCTAATGTGAAAGCAAATTACCGTGGGTTTGATTTGGGAGTTTTTGTTTTTATCATCATTATTCAATGAGGTTGCTTAGTGATGAATCTCCTCAGTGATTATGTATAGGGAGTTTTTGAAATCATGTCTGATTATATACTTGTATAAAAATATTGTTTTAATCTGGTTAACAACTGCCTAAAATTTCAGATGGAAACCACATAAATTTAAAATTTGCTAAGACAGCTTATGTATTATGAGAGATGCATATAAAAATTAACAGCATAGTTACTTATACAAAGTGCAAAAGCAAATTGCACTTTTCAAGCAGCTGAAGACCTCGTCTGAATTAATTGCAAATTAAGAGTAAAAGTTCTCCTATCTACCATATTAAAAAAAAAAACCACTTTTCAGCATATCAGGTAAAATACATCTCTGCTGTACTAATGGACGAAGCTACAAAGAATGAGTCATATTTTATTTTTTAAAGGGTATTTACAAAGAGATATTGCACCAGTTCGTCAGTTCTCCAGTATTTTAAGGGATTAAAGGAAACCTAATCTATGTTCACAAAATCAAAAGCTAATACAAAAGACTGAATAACAGAAAGAATAAATTTATTTAAATTGTTAAGTACAGTTAGTTTCCCTGATTATAGCCCATGCCCAGTATGATCTAGTATGTATCATATACAGCTGTTATCTTTTAAATCTTCATACCTCTATGCAGGTGTGAATTATTATACATGAACCATCAGAAAATGTATGTAAAATGTAAAGGCTATGCTTAACAATTGCCTTTTCCCTGGAAACCGCTGCTGTTTTAAACAAACTCAAGGAGCTATGCAATAACATTAGTCCAATAATTTAAGTCTTTAAAAGCAGTGATAAAATAGGTATGACAGTTGTCTTTCTTCCATAGATAATGCCAGGAAAGAGATTTCCCTTATTTCAGTACTGTTCACTTTAAACACACCCAATCCAGAATACAGTGAGCATTAGCATAAAGTGAGTCTCAGTTTATTTTCCAGATGGACCATCATGATGCATTTCTGGGGTGTAGGTAAGCAGAACAATCATGACCCAGAGGTGAAGCAATGCCTGGCAAAAGAAAACAGGAGTTATCATACAGTGCTGACTACCATCCATCATTTACAAAAGTTGTAAATCTGAATATAAGCAGAAGCAGCTACTTTTGTAGACATGTTTTGGCTAAATTCCCTTTATGAAACATTGGTTTCAAGGTTTTTCCCCATTTTAATCCATATCTAGCAAAGGAAAGAAATTCTGATTTGCACAGTAGAAACGCTGTGTCAGAATCTAAGGCAAAAAGTATTTTACAGCAAATTATGAAAAACTTTAATTACAATTAACATGTCTCCTGCTAGGCATGGATCATCTCTGATGAAAAAGAATTACATGGGGGATTGGTCCTACCATGAGTGCAGGAGAATGGATTCAATGACTTAGAGAGATCCATTCTGGTTCTGATTCGACATTACAGATGGTCCCATATAAGACTTCTGATTCGACATTACAGATGGTCCCATATAAGACTAATTGACAATACTGACTCAGCTCCAGCTTAGAAAGTGGTTCAGAGCCAAATTAATCAATCAATAAGTTTCTAAACTGTTTCATTATGAAGCATTTTGTTCACCTATTGAACAGTGCAATGGCAGTGTTACATGAAAAGGGGGAATTAAAATAGCCAAATTCCTTCTGTCACTCAAAATATGTGAGAGGTGGTGTGAGAGGGTATGGTTGCTTTGTATCCCCAAAGAGTGGCACCCCTATTTACCCAGGGATTTATTTAAAAAACTTCATTATGCTTTCTCAAGCAACATATTCATGAAATATGGAGGTAGAGTACTAAAATCTTTAAACAGCAGCTGAGCTTTCTTATATAACTACTGATTACATCAACTAACAGAGACATCAACCCTCTAGTGGAACTGGGAGAAATTTCACTGACAATCATGCAAGATGCGAAGAACAAACTTCCCTTCCATAGCCCAAGATTAGACAAAAATCATGCTCACTGCTTTTATAGCTATTTGAACTAAATGATTATTAACCACTGAGATGAGGTAAAGTGTTATTAAAACATCATTTTCCCAAGTTATTTTAATGAAAGCTAGTTAAATCATAAAAATCTTACTATATATTTTAGAAATGTGCATCTGTCTGAGACTGTTTGTTCAATAACTCATCCAAAACAACAGACAGGACCACCAAATTTGGTATGCAGCTTACTCTTATAACTAAAAGCCAGGTCAAGGTTTGGTTGTGCCAAGACAACGTGCAAGGAATTTGACTGTTTCTCATAAAATGAAAATGGATGGGTCTGACAGGAGGGAGTTATACTGCAAAATGACCACAGGGGGACAGCTATAATCCCATTGAGCAAGCAGGGGAAAGAAGTGCAGAAAGGGGCAGCTAGCTACTATACATTTCAGAGAATTTGTTTTTATCTGTTTCTGTCTGTCTGTCCTCCTGCCTGGGAACATGCACCCTTTTCCTGGCTGTGCCCACTGCAGTGACCATGGACAGGTGCTTCTCACCAGGCTTCAAGCTGTGTAGTAAGAGGGCTGGGGTTGTCTTCTCTCCCCAGGGCAGCCTGCATACCAAACCCTTCAACCCCAGAAGAATAATTTAAATGAAGAAAAACAAAACTTAGAGTTAAGGACCTGAGCAATGCCAAGTAAATTTTCTAGTGCAGGACTGAGCAAAATACGGCCCAGGGCCAGATCCAGCCCACCACGCCACCTGATCTGGCCCACGGACCACTTTGCCAGGACCCTCAGGCAGCAGCTGCAATAGTTTCAAACACTGTCTCTGCCACAATCTGCTCTGCAGGGAGAGGGAGGCTTCGTTCCCAGCCCATTCCTTAGCTCCTACTGGCCAGAAACAACCTGCCAATAAGACCTCAGCCAATTGCTCAGCTTCTCTTGCCTGGAAACAGCCAGCCAATCAGAGCGGAGATACTGGCCTGAGACACTCAGGTAGCGCAAGCCTCTTTCCTCACACCGAGTTGAGCGCCACATGGAGGGAGCCGCCTGTATTTTCAAGCAGACTGGGACTACAGCAAGCAGGGAGCCCAGCCCGCTTTGGGGGGTGCTGCAGCCTGCTGGCCAGGAGACATTTAGGAAAACTCTTCCCAGCCAGCACCTGACTGGCACCCCAACCCCTCCTGCACCCCAGCTCCTTCCCCCAGATCACCATCCAAACCCTCTGCATCTCCTGCCCCAGGTGACAACTCCATCCCAGACTCTGTAACCCCCCCCCACACACACATACGCCCTCCCCCAGGCCAGAATCCTCTCCTGAACCCAAACACCCTCTCAGACCCCACACAATCTCCTGCACCCCAGTACCTTACCCCGTGCACCCTTCTGCACCTAACCCCCTCCACAGAAAATTGCAGCCCTTGACCACGTTCCAAAGCCTTGGAGTAGCCCCCCCCACCAAAAATTACTGCCCACCCTTGTTCTAGTGTACTATATTTTACCAATGAGACTACAAATTAAAATCACCATTAGTCACGTAGAAATGCACATTAAAGACACTATGAACTCAAAGCAAGACTGTATGTATGTGTGTATATATATATATATATATCGTCAAGCCACATGACTCAAGAACCCAGCCTGCTTTGGGGGGTGCTGCAGCCTGCACCCTTATATACCCTTTTTCTTTTATACACGATTCAACACTTTTCAGATGAAGGCAGATATTAGCTAAAACTGACTATAAAAATTCTGTACAACAATGTACTCACCATATAAATGATTACAAATAATCTTGCTATGGGATATCGCCTTAGAAAGATTCCTAGTCGAATGCTGTGCAAGTATAATACACATATTAGAACAGAAAAATACTCTTATTCTTTTATTTTAAACCCACATAAAATTGTAAACACTAACTGGTATTATACATATAGTTTTCCACATTTCTGCCTCTTGAACTTTACTTTTTATTAACAGCTACTGGATTCAGAGAAATTAGTCTTTAGTCAGAACACAAAACAGATGTACTTTTTCTGACAATAAAAAGCCAGTACTCTTGTTGCTGTAAGTCAGTCACATTACACCTTGTTAGAAACAAGGGCTAGGGTTTTCAAAGAATCCTAAGGGAGTTAAGACACCTAACTACCACTGACTTACAATGAGATCTAGTTGACTAACTGCTGTAAGTTCTTTTGAAAGTCTTAGTGAAAGATCTGTATCATTCTTACACTTAGTTATAAATGAGAAATTGAATGGCCTTGTAGAATTCTAATACTAATGCAACATGAAGATCATCATATCAGAAGATTGCTAGGCCATGATGTAAAAGAAAAATATGCTTTAGTAAAAGAAAAATATGCTAGTGGGAAAGTGACAATACGAATATAGAAATAACATTTGAATCAGTGTGTCAAATACAACAGGCTAATCAAGGAAGCAATGATATTATAACCCTTACAACATTAAAATCACTACAGAAGTGCACCAGATTCATCCTGGTTTTCAAGGGTTTAAAACAGTGGTCTCCAACCTTTTTAAGCACAAGATCACTTTTTAAAATTTAAGTCAGTCCAGGATCTCTCTCAAACCCAAAAACCCCTGCCCCGCCCCGTTGCTGAGGCTCTGCCCCTGCCCCGCCCCTTCACTGAGGCTCTGCCCTCCTCACTTTGTGAAGATGGGGTACAGGGGAGGGGTACAGAGTGACATCAGCACCCCCTGCTTCTGTCTCCCCCACCCTGCACAAGAAGCAGGAGGCTCCCAGGGGGCAGCTCTGAGTCTCTGGGCAGGACCAGCAGGGCAGCCCCTCAGCCAAACTAGATAGGGTCTCCTATCAGAGCCTCCAAGATCTACCGATAGATCCCGATCGACTGGTTGTTGACCACTGGTTTAAAACTCTTACTCCCAAATGAAAATGATTTATGCTTAAATTCCCAAAATGGCTCCTGAGACAAGAGATCAGAATAACTTGGTTGGTGGTTCCAGAGCAATTTTTTACTCATTCTAGGCACGTTCTGTGAGGACACTTAGTTCACAGCATGGATTTATTCTTTGATATTTAAAAAAAATTAAAAGGATTTGAGAAAGGCAACAACTAACACATGTTGTTAGTGCTGATCCATTGTACATGGTAGTATGTTACAGACTAACTCATTTGTTCATATGTTGCATGATTTATCTTGCAAATAACTCATTTCTTTTCTTTGTTAATATATCCTTAATATAGTAGGTCTACCAGCATTGTTTCTGTGTGAGATATCAAGGTACAAATTGACCTAAGGCAGGAGTGGGAAACTTTTTTCAGTCAGGGCCACTGATTATTAGGAAAAAAAAAAAAAAAAAAAAAATCAGTCAAGTTGGTAAAATACAAGATATAACGGAAATAAAGTTAATAGGAATTTCCCATGTCAATATTTAATATGAATTTGTACCATATTAATTGTAGAGTTATTTCTATACAGTTGGAAACAACTAAAAAATAAAAGGTGTACTGAAGAGGAAAACTGTATAAAGGACTAGTTCAAGAGGAGAAACATTCCTTTAAGATTTATGTACTCTTACCTAAACTGGTCTATACTACTTGCAG